AGTTGTGACCACAAAAAGTGTCTTTAGACATTGCCCAATATCTTTGGGGAAGAAAATCAACCCCAATGAGAACCACTGTTATACTGAGTACACTAATATAATCACTCTTGGGTTCATTAGCTAAACTTCTGGTCCCCAATTACTGTATTTTGATGTATAATGTGCACTTTCTTGCCCAAATTTTTTAGGAAAAAATAAGGATGCGCATTATACATGGGTAGTACTAATTCTGTATCTGTATAAATGTGTAACTCTAGAAAGCAATAACAATATCCGTATGCAAAATAATACCCCGGAATACAATAATTGGTTTTGTTTTTAAATAGATTGAATTAAAAAATTAAAATGAGAACTTTTTTCCCTAAAAGTTTGGGCCAAAAACGTAGATTCACACTTATACTGGGGAGCGCATTATACACAGTAAAATATGATATCTTTTCTTCCCTCTTTTTGTTGTATTGCTCTAGACAGAAATAATAAGATGTCTACTATTTTTCTTTGTTTTCTCAGTTTCTGTATGTTAACTATGCACTAAATTTATACTGTTCACTTAATACAGTGATCACTAGCCACATGTAGCTATGTAAATTTAAAATAATTAAATTTGGATACTATTAAAATTTAATTCTCCAGTCACGCTAACCACATTTCAAGTACTTGACAGCTACATGTGGTTAGTGGCTACTGTACTGGAGTGCACTGCATTAAATTCTTTTCATACTACTTTTCTATGTTTTCTACTAACATCACATGGAAAAACACCTGCAATAAGGGACTTCATTTAAAATTTCTTATATGGAATTTGGTGTGATAGTTAGCTTTAGTATTAAGTAGCTGCCTCCTAACTATTTCTCAAATACTAGAGAACATTGGATTGAGTTTTCTGTTTTGTAGGGATTAAAGTGCAAATCCATTTATTGAACTGATTATTGGATTAATTAGTATTCTTATGGAGCTCTTTTGAGCAACCAGTTTATATTTGGTAGTATTCAGTATAACTCTGTTTTGTTTTGTTTTGTTTTTTTGTTCAGTTCTGTTATTCTCAAAAATGTACCTATACTGAACTTCAATTATTTGTTCTCTTAAGGTCTCTTTTATTTTCTGGGATCTATTGTTAACTTTAGTCAGGACCCAGATGTGCACTTTAAATATATTCAGGCAGCTTGTAAGACTGGGCAGATCAAAGAAGTAGAAAGAATCTGCAGAGAAAGCAACTGCTATGATCCTGAGCGAGTCAAGAATTTTCTCAAGGTAAGTAATTTTGAGTAGTGAAGTTTCTGGTTGGCCTGAAGATCAGCAGTTCCACAAGGATTTGGTTGGTTTAAAAAAATTTTCCCCCTAAATGTGAAATTCTTAGCATTCTGAAATTGTGTGCTAAATTATTTCTTCCACATTTAATATTCTGTGGTTTTTTTTGAAATAGGGAAGGAAATTCGTAAGTATGGTCACTTAAGAATGACCATCTGTTTAAAAGAAGGATAAAATAGAACTATCTTAAAGGAATTTCCTTTCTTTCACTTTAATTTTGGAAGAAAAATTTTGAAAGTGATTTTAGACTCTTAATATCATTTTAGAATATGTCACTTAGTCTCTTTTTGGATATTAAGATCAGCTTGCCCTCAGTGTGTTATTTTAAGGAACCTCTATTGTATGCAGACCATTCTGTTTCTAAAAGACGTAAGTATATCTCTGTCATTAAATTAGCCTGACTCTAGAAGCTAAAAATTAATATTGTATTTTTAATAAATTGAGGGTAAGATCAAACAAAAAAACCCTCTGCTTTGTGACACATGAGTTTAGTTATAAAAAAATAAGAACTGCTTTCGTCGGAGTGCAAAGTAATGATTTAAAGATTCTTAGCTCTTTAAAATATACCTAAGGACAGTTAATTTTGTTTAATGTTTAACTTAACATTAGCTTTATTCTCACAACTACTAGTTACTTTGTAAGGAAAATAAAACTTTAAAATTGGTAGTTGCAGGTCCGGGCTGGGGAGCTCAGTTGATTGTAGAGTGACATCCCAGTACCTACTAAGATTGTGGGTTTGATCCCTGGTCAGGTCATGCACAAGAATCAACCAATGAGTGGAACAGCAAATCAGTGCCTGTCTGTCTCTCTAAAAATAATTAATAGTAAAATAAAATTGGCAGTTGCCTCTAAAAATCAGGAAAACTATAGAACATTCCGTTTATCCCCCCTAAACATTTATTTATTTATATAAAATGATTCCAGAGACTGAATATAAAGTTCTTAAGCATTTTTTGTCTTCGTTTTTAGTTCATCTATAGCTGTATTATTTATCACTTTCAGTTAATCCTTAGTTGTATTAGCTGATTGTTCTTTTGAAGAATTTACTATGTGGGCTGTAGATTAAATAGCTAATCTGTGTAATCAGTGTAATGAGATAGTCAAAGTTCTGAAGTAGCTCTGTGTTACAGATTAAAAGGTAAACTTTCCCCCAAAGGATAGCATTATAATGTCTAGGCCATTATAAATATCTTAAGTGACCTGGCTAGTATGATGTCTTCAAACCCAGCACTTTCTGCTGTCAAAAAATCCATCCAAATAAGAAAGATTGGTGCTTTATGCTTGGCTAGTGTACCCCTAACACTACTTCAGTTCCTCCTTTGAGTATCAGTACTGTTTCCTCTTTTTAAAAATATTACCAGGTGCTTAAACTGATTTTTTTTTTATTATTAAGCTCTTAGATTTGAGATTTCAGTCACAATTTCCTTAGCATTGAGTTATAATATTTGAATTATTTTATGTATGTGTATGTATGTAAACATATAAATATGTTAATTAGGACTAAATTATTTTTACTTAATTATGATGTTCTTAAGCTTCAAAAAAATTATCTGGATACTAGAATGGTGCAGCCATTGCTTAGTCCATGAGATGTAATTAGATAAGGATTCCCCCCTCACACTCGTGAATTGGGAGCAAGCCTGATGGAGTAGGGACATGTATATTGATTATGGGCTTTTGAGGCAGTTAAAACTGGTTCAAAATCTATTTCTTTCTATTGTTAGCTGTTGTTCATTCATTTGGTGTATGTCTACCTGTTACCTCAAGCAAATTAACTTAGCCTTGGTTTCCTCAGTCACAGATTGTGTTTATCATGTACCCTCGTATGCCATAGGTGTACAAGTGAAAACAGTTGTCAGTAAGCTCTGTTGGTGGGCCTTGAAAATAAGGTAGAGTCAGCATACCTGTGAATTTTTTCTATCAGGCAAGTTTTGTTTCTTTTTGGTTTTGAGTTATTCTTGACTCCTTGAAGGAATTTTAATTCCAGTCTGAGTTAGAGGTAAATCTGGTGTCTTACTTTTAAATAATCTGAGATGGGAGCCCAATACTAAGTTACTACTGTTGTAGCGTAGCCTTTAACCCCAGTAGCGAGAATGAACATACCAAATCATTTACTCACTTTCCTTTTTGACCTATAGTATGGTAGCTGCAATGCTACATCTCATGACTATTATTAACTTTATTTTGGAGGTGATAGCTATATGGATAATTGACTGGTATTTTATGTAAACTCTTATGATAAGAAAAATACTTCCCTGAGCCCTGGCCAGTGTGACTTACTGGACTGAGTGCCGGCCTGGGGCCTGCAAACCAAATGGTCACTGGTTCTATTCCCAGTCTAGGGCATGTGCCTGGGTTGTGGGTCAGATCCCCAGTAGGGGGCATGTGAGAGGCAACTACACACTGATGTTTCTCTCCTTTTCTTTCTCCCTCCCTTCCCCTCTCTAAAAATAAAGAAATAAAATCTTAAAAAAAAAAAAGAAAAAGAAAAATACTGCTCTGAATCTGATCTTGAATGTTCAAGTGCCAGTTTTATGCTATTCACCAGCAATATGAAGATTGGCAGAATATGACTCCTGCCTACTATGTTCTGTGAAGCTGGAGGAAATAATGACATTAGCATCATTTGGCTCATTTCCTAAGTTATTGTAGAATCATAGCTCTCCATAGAAAGTATGGGACTGTTCTTCAGACTCATGATCTTTTTCCTACCTTTAATCTTCTTTTCTATCATTTTTCCCTTCCTGGTTGTACGTGAACTGCACTGGTTTGCTTGCTTTCTGGAACACCTCAAACCCTCTCCTGCCCCAGGGCCTTTGCTTGTGCCCTTTCCCACTTTTCTCTCAGACCCTCATGATCTACATCCTTAACCTTTAAGGTTTCTCATCAAATGTGAGAAAAGATGTCTCAGATGATGCTGACCTATCCTTATTCCATCCTTACCTCCCCCATATTCTGCTTTTTTAAATAACAGTTAACACTAAGGGACATTGTCTCTTCCCACTGCAGTGTAATTCCCTTGAGGGAATGGTTACTTTGTTCCCTGCTATATTTCCCATGCATAAAAACAAGGCCTGATACATAGTTACTCAGAAAGTATTAGTTAAATGAATAACTTCATGTTTATGAAAACTTGAATATCTTTATTCAAAATCATTTTAATTTTGATCTTAAAATCTTTAACCACAATAGCTACAGGGTAATCTTTTAAATAATTTAAAATGATAATAGCATTTTTTGTATGAAATCATGTGCAAATTTAGGCAATCAAAGAAGTATTCTAGATTTTGTCTTTTTCAATCTTAAGTTTTCTTTGGAAGTGTAGTACATTTATCTTTGCCTGCAGAAATCTTAAATATCCATGCGTGAGACTAGAATATCAAAGTAGTCTTAGATTACTTGCATGTATGTTGTCTCCATAAGCGGTAAAATAAAGTATGTAAAATTTTATATGTATATTAAATAGGGTAAGGATGACTACTGTGTTGATCTGCTAACTTTTTGATGTTTAGTTAATAGGACTGAAGTCTTTTGCATAGTTAGATCAAACATTATTTCTAGAAATGATTGTTGAACTTGTTAAGGACAGAGTTTTTGTGCTGCCAAATACTTGCTTTAGACTTTCCTTAATGTGAAAAATCTGCAGCTGGACTTCCACTTCAGATTTACAGCCATTTTGATTTTTTTCCCCCCACTGTGTTACCTGCTTCAGTGCCTGCAGCCTATGGGCAAGAGGCCAGGTGATGGTTTAAGGCCACTCTTCGCTCTGACATGGGGCACTGTGAGAGACCCAGGGGGACGGGCCTGCCATAAATCCAAACCGATGCATGCCATTTTGATTTTTTACTCAGGATTTCTCATGACTCCCAGATTTAGTTTTGTGTCCTCTGAACACTGCCTAGATTGATCTTCAAGTTATTTATAATTGGGTGACTAATATGTGCTAAACTTAGGTGCTAGTTTATTCTAACCTTCCAAATAATGTTCTTAGTGGCTGTCATTGGGGAAAGTTCTATCCTGCTTAGTTCTACTTCCTTAGTAGATTGTCCTAAATGAATCATTTATTAAGAAATGTTTCACTGTGTGTAAATGAATTTCCTGATGGAAACTGTTGTTTTTTGTGCTTTACCTTATGTCTGTGGAATGTTACAGGACATGTATCAGGTAAATGTCCAGCCCAGGTCTTAACCTTCTATCTGTAACATCTATGCCAATTTGTAAAGTAGGATATATTATATCTTGGTATTTGCAATGATAAAAGCAATAGGCAATTTAAAGATGTCTTTTCTTTAAGTGCTTCCTTTTTCTTAACTTTCTTCTAATTACGGCGACATGTGGTGTGTGTAATTCGTGGCTGTCACCATCGTACTGCTCCTCGCAGGCTTTGTTGTAACGGAATGTTAGAGGCTGGCCATATAGAATTCACCTGGGGAGGGGTGAAAAATAAGTCATTAGTTTGAAACAAGTATAAGCAATTTATGCCATCATTTTGACAGTATGACTATTGGTCTTAAATCAACTCAATTCTGTTATATTACTCTTACAATGAAAGTCCCACTGTCATGATTTTATATCCTGAAGGCCAGTGGTGGCTTACAAATCTTAATTAGTTACTTTTTTTTTGGTAGAGGGTGTATGTGGGAAGGACCTGGTGTTTTGCTGTGAATCTTAAATATTGATTAGTAAAAATTGAATGGAACTGCAATGGGCACTCTCCAGCAGTTGGGACGTTTCTTTCTTTAAAAGAACAGCCAAGTTTTTATGAGCCCGTCCCACCAGTATAAAACAGGTTCTCATATTTTAGATGATTTCATACATCACAGGAGTAAATTGAGGTTTCTTTTTGTTCTTTTTTTTCAGGAAGCGAAGTTAACAGATCAGTTACCCCTCATCATTGTATGTGATCGATTTGACTTTGTCCATGATTTGGTGCTCTACTTATATAGAAATAATCTTCAAAAGTATATAGAGATATATGTACAGAAGGTAAGTAATACCTAGATAACTTAAAATCTTGTAGATTTTACTTCTCACACTCTGGAAATCTTCATCCTTTTAAAACTCTGGTCTGCTATAGTGGCTTTCAACGTTGTTTCCTGCCGAAGTCCTTTCTTTGATTAAAATTTTACGTGTATGTCAAGTATGTAAAACAGAACAGAGGACTGCTATAATTGAAAAAGTTGGATGGCCTATCCCCTACTTACTTGATAGCTTCTGTGGTATCTGTGTGTCAGAAACTACCTTCTAACTCCAGAAATAGAAAGTTTTGCTATAATGGAGGCCTTTTAACTAGACAGTCTTCCATAATCATTCTGTGACATTAGCTTGTTTGGACTTATTTATCCTTTGAGCAGTGCTGAGGTGATTAATTAACCAACCCGACCTCCTGCTAAATTCCTCAGTCTAGCTGCAAATTTAGACTTCAGTTATTATTGAATTTTAAAACTGAGCTTAAAAAAGGGAAAATATTTAGTTTTTTAAAACTCCTTTTTGCTTTGCTTGTTAATAACATAATGGCATTCTTCTGTTTTTTTAACCTTAGGTGAATCCAAGTCGACTTCCTGTGGTTATTGGAGGATTACTTGATGTTGATTGCTCTGAAGATGTCATTAAAAATTTGATTCTTGTTGTAAGAGGTCAATTTTCTACTGATGAGCTTGTTGCTGAGGTGGAAAAAAGAAACAGGTGTGGTACCCTTTTAACTTTCATAACTGGAATAAATTGGCCCTCTCAGCATGGTAATGGATCAAAATATTACTTGTCAGTTGCCTAAAAGCTACTCCAGAAATGAGTACACCATAATTCCCTGAACACTAATTTAGAAATGATAAGCTAGCTGTAGTGTTGATAAAGTGCTCCTCTGGAATACTACAGCTGTCTTAAGAAAACCTGTTACCCTGGGTGATGACTTTTTTGCATATTTATAATTACAGCTACATGGTTGACTTTGTATATGTTTTTAATGTAAACTATATAAAAAACCTCCTTTTAATTAAGTATGCTACCCCTATATTTAATAACTAATTCTTTGATTAAATTATTCTCAAGTATAATGAGAGAAGAGTTTCCTGTATAACTGAGTTAAATTGATTTTTTATTTGAACCTTAATATGTTAATTATAAATTTCCCATAGAGAACATGGTAACGTAAGTACTTATAATCCTTACACAATGAAGTCTTATTTTAGCTGGGACTAGTGTTCAGAAGGTGTTGAAATAGTAAATGAGGTTTGTGGGTTGGTATAATAGTGGGAAGTTCCTCTACCTATGAAATCAAGAAATGCTATGAGGTTTAATTTTAACCTGAGTTGGTATAGGTGTCCAACTAATGGTATTCATAAAGTTTGTATTTAAGTGTTTCAGCCATGGAAAAAGTATGCATTTAAGGATAATGGAGATAGAATATAATGCCGACTTTAAAAGTTTGAGTCTAGTTTAAAGTGATTATGCAACATAGCAATTTAACATTTAGAGAGAAGTTTCAGTTGCGTCTTAAGTCTAATGCCTGAAAACAGTCTGGTTTGTTGTATATTCCAAGCAGAGAGCCAGATAGTTATAGTTAAATTGTTAACTCTTTGTTTGCTTGTTTTACTAGATTGAAACTGCTTCTGCCTTGGCTAGAGGCCAGAATTCACGAGGGCTGTGAGGAGCCTGCAACTCACAATGCGCTAGCCAAAATATACATAGACAGTAATAACAACCCGGAGAGGTTCCTTCGTGAAAATCCTTATTATGACAGTCGTGTTGTTGGAAAATATTGTGAGAAGAGAGATCCACATCTGGCCTGCGTTGCATATGAACGTGGCCAGTGTGATCTGGAACTTATTAATGTGAGTACTGCTAGCTGAATGTGTAGCAAAAAGGCTGCATTTTCTAAAATCTTTACATGATGTTAGATTAGTAAATTTTGAGAGTTAGAGTGGTTTTAGGTAAAGCAGCGAAAGACATGCTTTTTAAAAAAATTTGTTTGCCAATAATTGTGAATTTAAAGTGGCCAAAACAATGGATCAAGTCTATGTTCACTTATTAATATTTTAACCCCACTAGTTTTATCACTTGTGTTCTCATATGCTCACAAGCACACGCACACCGTGTATGCATCATGGCCTTGTACCTCTTCAGTGTGTATTTCCTGAGAATAAGGATGTTCTCTTTCATTATTATAGATACCAATTTCAGTCAGTTTGTTACTGATAAAATATTTAAGGTTTATTTCAATTTTGTCAATTGACCCAGTAATGTCTCTTACAGCATTTTTCCTGCCAGTCTCGATTATATATTGCATATAGTTGTCATATCTCTGTAGTCTCTTTTAATACAAAAAAATTCTTTGTATTTTTTATAATACTGACATCATTGTAAAAAATAGGTTTTCTCTACTTTTCTTAAATTGCAGTGAAGTTCACTAAAATAAGAGGAAGTGAATATTTCAGTGGCAGTTAGTACATTCACAGTGTTGTATGAACATGTCTATTTGGTTAGACGTTTTCATCACTATGCAAGGAAACTTGATACTGATTAAGCAGTTAGTTGCCCCACATTTCTCCCCCCAGCCCCTGACAACTTCCAGACTGCTCTCTGTCTCTGTGGATTTATTATCTAAATATATTTCATACAAATGAAGGCTCATTTTTAAAAAGAGAATGTTCTCTCCTGGAAGGATAGCTCAGTTTGTTAGAATGCTGTCCTGATACGCTGTGGTTGCAGGTTTGATCCCTCGTCAGGGAACCTAAAAGAATCAACCAGTGAATTGATCAATAAATAGTACAACAAATTGATGCTTCTCTCTCTCACTCCTTTCCTCTCTGTCTAAAATCAATCAATTGCAAAAGTTAAGAGTTTTTTTCACTCGAGTTTTTCTTACCGTTCCTTGTTACTAGATTTAGATTGTACATTTCCATCCAGCATATTCCTTAAGTGTTTTGTCTTTCTTGTGCTAATTATCTGTAGAAGCACTTGACATTGCTTTGTCCCTCATTTGTGGAGGCATTTTTACCATTGTCAAATTTCTTTACTGTATAGTTATTATATTTTCCCTACATATCTTAAGATATCTTCAAGGAAACACTTTAAAACATGCAAATATAGTGTGTCTTCTCTTCCCCACCAATTTAGAATCTATCAATTATTTATAAAACCATTCTGAATGGGTTGGTTGCAAAATGACAATTTTCAATCCCAGTATTTTCCCCACATTTATTACTCAGCACTCCTGTATTCATGCTCTTAAGAATTCCTGTTTGATTCAGTAGGTTATAATCCACCACTGTTGATTCAGTGCTCAAATTGTCCCAGTTTTGGCTGATAAAAACCCCTTCAGCCTGTCTCCCTGGGCTTTGTTTCATGGTCTCATCATTCCTTGAGTACTTTCTTATTTTTTAGCATAACTAGTTTCATCAAGTTCATTTTGTACCCTGCCAGCCCTTGGATCTACCATTTTTCTAGCAAATTCTCATTCCTTTTAGTGGGAAATGCCATTAAAAACTCATCCATAAGCTCCTTGGTGTGTTTGCTTCTAAGATCTTTTGGTGATCAGAGGTAGGAAATATATGTATCTGTGTACATACATACACATAAACATATGTGTGCATATACACATGGAAAAACAAACACAAAGATAGCTTGTAAAACACTGAAAAGAAAGCTGTGAAGGTAGACTAGCCCTACTAGTTACTGAAGCATATTACAAAGCCTCCATAATTAAAACATGCAGTACTGGTGCATAAATAGACCAGTAGAGTAATATATGAAGTCCAAGTACAGATCCAACATCAGAGTGTTTTCTAAAAGATTCCAGAGATTAATAACTATGTTCGTTTCTGTTGAT